ACCACAATCCACGATTCCCTTTCTGGGCCTACGTGGGCTTATCGCTTTCTGCCACGTTATACGTCAACATGGGCCCCATAGTTATTGGCCGGTGACTGTTGAGGAGGAAGAAGGAACGAAAAAATTGCCTACCTCTCTTCTACTCCACGCGATTTTAACGTGAAACAATGCCTCTCGCCAAGAACCTGATCCGGCTCATATTCGATTCAACTTGAAGCTAATCCAGAATCATATCATAGAATTCGATTAAACCCAATAGAAACTTCACATGTTATGTCTTTTTTAGGACTGCCATCTCTTCTTAATTACCTCGACTTCTTTTTTTTTTACAAAAAATTAACATTCTAGATGATGTCAATGAATTAAATATGAAGAAACGGTTGCAATGCAAGATGAATAGTGGCATATGATTCTTAGCAGACTCCACAGTAATAGGAGTTCTGGATGTTTAATTATTCCCATAATTATGAACATTTAAGGTGTTGTTTTATCTACTGCACCTTTGCTGGCTGTGGCTGCACTTTTATACAAAGTTAATGTTCTGCACCAATTTCAACATTTCGTTTCAATGAAATTCATCAACACAGTTCTGACTGCAGTTGCAAAAAAAATATATTCATTTTGCAGCTAATGGCATACATATATAGATCTAAATGTGAGTCAGAAAAGCCATTTTGAGCCTTAAACGAGCATAAATTCCCACTCCAAATAGTTAACTCCAACTTCAATTGCACGAAACTGACGCACGCACTGCAACTACAGTGACCCTGATGCAAACCTACACCATCGATACGCGTTCAACATACAAACGCAGCGGCCCAGGGCAAGAAAGTGAAATTGGGGAGCCCCGTCGTCGACTTCTGGAGGCCCGTCGTCGACTCCGGCGAGGGTTTACTGCTTCAACAAGACAAAATCAATATCTTTAACATTTCATACATCAAAAGGATTAGCATTTAATGGGCAGAACAAAGATTCCCAATCTTATTAGCCAGAAGCTAATTAATGAATTTAGTAACCTTACTATGATAAGCCACAAATGTACTAGAACAATTGTGAATATACTTATTTCACTATAAATCCAGAAATGAAAATGGTCTTGATGAACAAGAATGTCTGAAACTTGAGAGGAAAATTAGAAGTAGAAGCAAAGAAAAATCAATGGCCGAATAGAGCAAAGAAACATTGCAAGGAAAAAGCCACAATCATAAGAATATGCATATTTAACAGATACAGAGATTTACCATTGACGTCAGGGGAGAGGCGGCTGGGCGCTGGATCTCGAGGCTGCCGGCGGCGGTCAGGCGGCGGCCTGAGGTGAGTTCGGGCGGATCTGGACAGGGGGTCGAAGATGGAGAGCTGGAGGCTCGGGAAGAGGAGGATGGGGCTGCGGGCTGGGGGTTTGGCGGCGCTGGGCGCTGGAGGCGGTGACTGGAGGCGGCGGAGGTAGAGGAGGCGCGGAGATGATGAGGGAGTTGTGGCGGAGATTATGGGGGAGAGTTCGGCGGTTTCAGATGAATCAGATCTAGGGTTATGAGATAGGGCACTTGTTAAAGCTATTTATATTATGCCAAGTACAAATCTGAACCGTTCATTCATGATCCAAAAGACATGTGAAATCCTAGGTCCCTTAACTTGTTTATTTATAGGACAAATTTTTGAAAACAACCGTTTTGCAAAATTAATAAGCAAAATCGACCTTCTCATAAAAAAAACAGTAAAATCGACCTTTTTTATCTCAACAGGGTCGATTTTGCCACGGGCAATTTATTTCAAACCAAATGGACGGGACTAGTAGTCCCGTCCATTTGGTATATACACCAACCACCTCCCCACCCGTGAGCCCCTTCCCCTCAAACAGATCTCCCCACCCGTGAGCCCCTCCCCTCAAAATATCGCCCCCCCTCCTCCTCCGATCTCATAGCCCCCTCCCCTCTTTCCTCCCCTCAAACAACACAAGTTGTTATCACCCGGTGCGTCGTCCGGCGAGCGCGAGGTCCGAGATTTTCTCGACAAGTGCTTGAGGAGGAGGTCGGAGGAGCGGTGGACGGCGGAGGAGCTGCTCCGGCACCCGTTTCTTGAGGCGGAGACTGCACCGGAGCTTTCGCCGAGGTGTGTTCTTGATTGGGTCAGCTCAGAATTTGAGGACGACGAGGAGGAGGAGGAGGAGGTTGACGATGATTTGATGAGACTGGGGATGGAGAGGATAAGGGGGTTGGCTGGGGACAGTGAAGGGACAGTGAATTGGGACAGTGAAGGATGGGAATTGGTGAGAGCAAGAACAGAGGAAGAAGCAAGTGGAAATGAGCTGTCCAATGAAACCGGAGGAAGCTCTGATTTCAATCCCAGTTGCGGCCACAGTCATTTTCGCTGCTGCGATCAGAATCAGCAAGTGGGGCGTGTGAGGAGACAGAGCTGTCTGAATTGGAGCCTGGTTTTGTTTCGCTTGATCTTGTTTAGAGCAGTAGTGAACGCAAATCCAATATTTTTTACTTTGGCTTTGCAGTTGTATACATTTGGTGACTTAAGATTTTTTTATTTTGTAGATTATTGAAGATTTTTCGAGTTTTTCTTTTTTTTTGTTGTTCCCATGGTAGTTTCGTGGCTGTTTTGTGTACAGTTTTGGCCCTGGAGCAATGGAGTGGACGTCGGTTTATTAACTAGCTAACGTCCATAAAATACTCCATGAAATTGTGATGGAACAAAACTAGCATCTCGCCCCCTTCCAATGAACAACTTAATTCTTTCAGGGAAATATGTTTATTTTCTGGTAACAATAATGATCGGCACAGTGAGCCTTCGACAACAATTCGTTGATAGAACCCGCATGTCAAGCTCAGAAAAAGTATCAGATGGTCTCCGGTCCCCGCATTTAATATTGCATTAAAATAATATTAATCCTGGATCATTGAACTTTGGGTTTCATGTATGCATACGTCCCCATCGGGTACTTTCCCGCTCATAGTTAGTTTTTTTTTTTTTTTTTTTTAAATACCAAAATCAAATATTAAACTTTTTTTTTGGCATCATGTTTTCGTGCAACCAGTTCTGTTCATTTTGAAACTGGTTGAACTGGTAGAGGGTATTTCTAATTATTTTGAAGTGCAACTTCAAAGCATATAACGATCAGCTGCTTCGAGATTAAGGATGCCATCATTCTAGAAAGACTCAAACCGAACCACCGTCTTT